TTACTGTAATCCAAATATAAATTGTCGTTGTCATAGCAGAACGCCGCGAGGAAATGTGAATAATCAAAGTGGATGAACAAATACACAAAAGTGCTCCCTTAGGTTAGGTTTCTAAAAATTTCAATTCAATTTCAACCCGCCAAATTCGAATTCCTCCGGTACGGACGACTGGCTTTGCTCGGGTCGGATCTATACTCGGAGCTCCATTGCCGGATTGAGCTCAATTCCACCGCCACCGGCAATGTCGGCGTCCAAATCTTCTCCATCCGCCTCCCGATCTGATCCTCAGGTACCTGATTCGCCTAAGTGCATTCTAATCTTAACTGTCTGGTGCATTTCCTATAATTTTATTTTTACATTTGGTTGAATAAATACTATTCAATTTTTATAGCCCTCTGGAGTTGATAGGTTTGTTTAGATGGTTGGAGACTGAATAAGAAGGTACATTGTATTTTACTTTGCTGAAGTTTAGGTCTGTGGTCTTGCTAGATGTAAAATATATGTAACTTATTTCAGTCAACCTTTGGTAGTTTTGAGAGCTGGATTTAATATTAAGGGTCTCTCCATAATTGTACTAATTGTTTGTTATATTCATGTATATTTTGAGGATATAATTATAATATATTAAGGAGAATTTAAGAATGAAAAATTTGTGATCTTACTGGAATATGAAACCAGAGACTAGCAGCAAAATATGGTAGGTGCATTGATTATTCAACTTGTAACGACCAGGGCCTCTTGCCCAAGCCGTACTATCCGCTTGGGGAGGACATTTACCTTATTAATCCCTTACTGCTTTCTATCGCGTCTCCCGTATTCAAGAACAAGACCTTTGCCTGAGGACGCAATAGAAAATCTTGAAGGGGTAAGAGGGCAGATGTCATTCCAAAAACGGATAGTTGATATGATATAATGGCTTGGGCATGAGTTCCAAGTCGTCACACAACTACTTTATTTTATGGAGAATGATAATCATCACTTAATGATGGTTAATCTTCATTTCTTAAGAAGCGTTGTCGATAAGTTTCAAACGTAAGTTGGAAGATTGATATGTCAAAAAAGTGGTTAGATAGATAAGAAACGAAAGGAAAGTAAGATGTATAATAAATGAAATTGATATTCCTGTTTTGAAGTTTGAATGAATACTGTAAAGTTGTGACTTGGCATAAATGCTAGATTTTATGACCTTACTTGTTTAACCGAAAGCTGTCTTCACTGGTCAAATAATGAAATGCAATTTGCATGCTAATTTCTGTAGTTGCGTGTTTCTGTTACGGTCTGATGTTGAATGGGTAAACAAACAATTTTTAATATTTTACCTTGATCATGTGGACATTCTGACTTTTGCTTTCTTTGTTATAACTTATAATTTATCCTTGTAATTCACTTATATAAGAAACAAGAGGAGTTTTTTTAACTACTTGATGGACTTGTGCTCACTTGGACAGACTACTGGGCATCAAGAAAGTCTTCTGTCAGCCCAAGAAATACTAGCAGTTATTGATTCTTTTGAGAAACAGGTTGCTTTGGATCGTCGTGTAAGCATAAAGGTGCCCTTTGTGATCCTCATGATCTTCACTGAATTTTTATTTTACCAGTTCATGATTTTTAAATAAACTCTCAAGTCATGTTCCTCTTTTTTGTCCAGAAACATATGGAAGAAAATACACAAAAAGTTGCTGATGTAACAAAAAGTCTTCTTAAACTATCGATGGAAAGAAGCAATCTTAAGATTATTGGTGCACACAAAAGTGTTGATTTACTGGCTAAGAGGCAGAAAGATGCAATTGATATGCATAACTGTATCGGTACGAGTAATGGGGATAATGATAACAGTAGCTCTCAAGAAGATGGATATGGCTCTTCGGCAATTCTTTTGGGATCTAGCATTGCAGTAAAAAATGCTGTTCGCCCTATTACACTACCAGAAGTGAAAAAATTACCACCATATACAGCATGGATTTTTTTGGATAGGTGCGTCAAGATTGCTCTGAACTCTGTTATACGGACACTTCAACTAAGGTGTCATGTCGACACTTGTCCGATACCGACGCTCTTCGGACACTTTACCCAGATCATTTTTTATTAGAAATATTATATATTTTTAACTCAAAGTTATTAGTAAATAATAAATAGGTCTTCGTATTTAAAATATTTCAATAAGAAAAATTAGTAACAAGTATAAAATTAAATTTATACTCTCTCCGCCCCAATTATGTATGTTAAATTTTCTTTTTCTCTTGTCTCAAATATATAGGCTTGTTTTTTAATGTAGAATATTTTGTTGTGTTCTTTTACTAATATACCTTTATTAAATTTTCCCCACTTAATATGCAAACTTATTGAAATTCAAATTCTTTATTAATTCCAACAATAATTTAGTTTTACACACTGAAAATTAAATAGGGGTAAATTAGGAAAGATATTGGCAAAAATTAATTTTCCAATGACATTAAATAAGCTTTCTTAATTCGTGTGAAAAACTAAACAAGCCTATATAATTGGGACGGAGGGATTACTATATAAATAAAAAAGAATTAATCAACGTGTTGACGATGTGTTGTGTCGGTGCTTTTTTGAAAAATTGCATGTCGACTTATTTGACACATGTCGTGTTGGACACTTGTGTTCGTGTGCATGTTGGTGCATTATAGGCTCTGAATATGGCATAAGAAGTGTAGTTAAATGTTTTATTATACTCTTCCAATTGAAACATTCTCCCTTTCCATTCTATTAATTTTATATATCTGAAAACTATGCAAGTTCTACTGAACTTTCTCATTGTTACATTTGAAACATTGTCATTGTCATCCTTTGGTACTGCGCCAGTTTGGTATTTTGGCGTTTGTATATTTTATTAAGACAACTGAATATTAACTTCAGCAATAGTTGATTGTATCTCTACCATAGATTATTGCTCTATTTTTTTGTTACTCGTTTTATATACTCAAAATATTTGTGTGTTATTATTAGTTTTTTCCCCTTTACTTTGAATAGCATGCACATTTTTGTCTTTATTTACATTTACACGTTTTTGTTTTCCTTTATATTCTTTTTCTTGATGATCATTCTGTTTATTTACATCTAAGTTATTTTTAGTACACAGCAATATATTTATTTTCTTTTTATGCTTCACACTCCATTATTAATTTTCTACTTCTTTTTGTGGGATATGCTAAAATTAGATTCTGTTACAAAGAGTTACATCCATAGTATTTTCTAAAGATTTCCTTCATCAATTGGCAAACTCCAAAGAGCCTTAAGTACAAAACCTATGATGCATCAACACGAACACGTGTATATGACACAACACGTGCCAAACACCCTGACATGCAATTTTTCAAAAGAAACTGACACGACACGTGTTGACACGTCGACTAAATTTTTCAAAATTCTTCATTTATATATTATAAATTTGGTTTTATACTTACTATTAATTTTTCTAGTTGAAATCTTTTAATATGAGTATCTATTTGTTATTTAATAATAATTTCGAGTTAAAAATATCTAATATTTTAAAAAATGACGATGGTAGAGTGTACGAGAAGTGTCGGTGTTCGACACATGTCAAAGTGTCGTGCAACACAATATAAAAGTAACAAATATGTGGGGGTTAATAAAGCTTGAAAGTGTCGAATAAAACACCATGCGTGACAAATGGGTTCCTAACAGTGAACATATGCAGTATTTTTTCCATTTGAAGACTTTCTTATAGTTTCATGTAGTACTTTGATACCTGACTATATTTTATCTCATATTCTACCTCCAACCTTGATAACTATGTTGTTTGGCCTTGGAGGTCAAAAATAATTACAGTGGACAAAATGTTGTCTACAACTGTGGTTAGGTAAGTTATTTATATAAAGCAATCATAACCAAATATATTTGTCAGCATGTATTGTACTAACTCTGCAATGTCTACTTTGTTTGACGTTTTGAGATCTAACAAAAAATTTAGGAAATAAAAATAAAAAAAAAAATTAACTTTTGAGAATAAAACTTGAATAAAATGAAAAAGTAGGATACTTGGTTCTACATTATATACTTTCATAAAGCTTTATAAATGGGTGCAAAATATTGTTTAAAATTCTAAGAGTATATCCAAGGGACTCTCTATTTTTAAAGAGCATATTTTGCAATTTAGTGAGCATTTATAAAATTAGAGAGTAAAAATTTTGAAATACTCCAATAGCATCTTTATCTTAATACTTAATTTTACTACTCCCAATATTTATTTATTATTTTTCCTATCTTTTATTTTTATCGACTTTTCTCCAAATTATTATATTATTTCCCTCCATTTTTTGTATGTACTGTTTAATTGGGTCAATATTTGGAGTATTTAAAATTGAAATATTTTGAATGCATTTAAATATAGAGAGTGGATTTGTCTTTCCAATCCCACTTTCTATTTTAAAATATTCATTTGAAGTGTCTCCCGGCTCTTTAAAATAGAGAGCATTCACTTTTAAAGAACCTATTTGAGATGCTCTAAGTCCTTTTGATCTTCAAAAGTTAAATAGAAAAGTCTTTATGGAGTGGAGTACTATCTACATCAATAAGTCTAAAAAGTTTCTAACTTAATTTAGTGTTGCTACAGTAGCTTTCCCTGGCGGAAACTCAATATATATAAGTTGTTCACAAAGGAAACTTTTCAGTTTTCAATTTTCGGTCCTCTCCAGTGCATTCTCCAAAAATTTCTCTTCAGTGTTGCTATTAATGGTGTTTGCCATAAATTCATGTAGTAAGAGACCCTGCATTTTACTGCTAAACTTAGTTAACTATGGGATTCATCTAATTCTGACTTCTGCCTGATGATTTCTTAATAGGTTCTCTCATTTCTGACTCCTAAAGTGATTTTGGCTTATAGTTGTAAAATTGCATCCTGGATATAGTTCAAAAGATTAGCCTATACAACCTCCCTTGATGTTTGATAATTAGCTTCAGTTTTAAATAATTTGGCTTGTAATTGTAACATTGCATCCTGGATATAGTTCAAAAGATTAGCCTATACAACCTCCCTTGATGTTTGATAATTAGCTTCAGTTTTAATTAATTCGTGATTCATATTTTTTATTAACTCGCAATAAGTGCAAACCCTCTTAAGCAGACTAAGTCAGTAAGAAACCAATACAAATATCTTTATTCTATGCACATGCTTGTTTGTATTGTCAGTGGCAAATGAATATTAAATGAAAGAAAAATACTGGTGAACAGAGGAAACAAGTATTTGAGGATACATTGTGTTTTGGACATTTGGAATGTTTATAATATGTATGCGTGGGTTGTAATTTCTATTGCATGTAGGTCTAAATGAATGGAAGATACATGTCAAGATGAGTAACACTGGTCTAACATAAGGATAGATAGGATTGTATTACTCGACCTTGATTTTATGTCCCGAAACATCCCACCTTGATCTTACGAGTCATTGTAGGATTTTGCTATATCCCACAATCTGAATCATATCTTCATGTATCTTTTCGCATTTAGAGGAATTAAATTTTTTAGCTTGGTCTTTCAAAATGAATTGGATGGGCGGTTGATTTTTGGGTCAACTAAATGCTATTGGGATGCATTACATTGATCCTCTTTCATTTCTATTTCCCAGTATCTTCTAATTGTAATATATGGTTTTGAATTTTAATGTCAATATAAATGATCATCCACAGATTATAAATTGATATTAAGCCTCTATTTGGTAGAGATTAAAATTAGATTTTTAGCAGATTTTGATAAAAGTTGATAGAATGTATGGTTGAAAAGTTGTGGGTCCTATGAAATGTGTTGTTAAAATTAATTGTTGACTTTGATTTAATCCTGTTTGAGCCCCATTTTGATAAGAAAATGTATTTTCGAATATTGAATTTTTGGAGAATGTGTGGTTAAAAAAGAAGGAAAAGTTTTTGGTTAATGTGTAAAATTATTTTATGGGAAAATGTGTTGTTGAAAATGAGTTTTTTGAAAAAATGGGGGCCAAACATAGGCTTAGATTGTAATTAGATTTTTTAAAGATACCAAACAGGGGCTAAATATAGTTATGCAGAACGTTTTGAGGCCAGTAAAGTCCAGCTACCCCTTTCATTTTTGAATGTAAAAATTATTACTTCTGAAAACCAAATCTGTGTTTCACAAACAATGACTTGGCTTCACTAGTCCATTGGTGTCACTTGCTGATTCTCTTTGGCCATGTGCATTTGTGAGTGAGTATGTTTCTGGATTCAGACAGGAGCTCTTAGACATCTTCTATATGGCTTCCCTGATTGAAGTTTATCTTGATTCAATTATATCCTTAGTGCAGAAACCGAAGAATGACGGAGGACCAGTCTGTAGTCGGCAGAAGGAGAATCTATTATGACCAAAATGGTGGTGAGGCTCTAATCTGTAGTGATAGTGAAGAAGAAGCAAATGATGATGAAGAAGAGAAGAAAGAGTTTGCTGAGTTTGAAGATTATATTCTGCGGTTGGTATATCTGAGGCATATAACGCATCTTGTCGCTTTTCTTCCTTTTCTCGGTCTGTGCATAAAGATACAGTTTTTTTTTTCAAAGTATTGTTTGAATTTTCATTTACATGATCATTGTTCTCATTAATCCTTAGGTCACTGGCTCCTTAAGTAAAAAAGAATTTTTCACGATCCTTTTTCACTATCCTCTTTTGGTTCATTGCTACGTTCTTCTGGAAGGTGAAATATAACTAGATCTTTTGCAGCCAGGGCCATTTATATTATTTTCCTTGCCGAAATGCCATCGTTCATATCCCGTGTATTCCCTAATTCTTTCTCTTCCCTTTTACCCCCTTGACCTCTTGTATGCGAGTTTTCTTGACTTTCCTCTAGTGTATTATGAGTGCGTTTGATTGCGAGTATGGAATTTGTATGGAAAGAGGCAATTCAATTGCCTAGAATTTATTTCTATGAAAATTAAATTGCCTAGACCTTATTTGTATAAAAATTATTAATTGTGTTTGATTGATTTAGTTTTCAACCTAGAAAATATTATACTTGTCCATTTTTTATTGGTGGGTGGATGAGAGAAAGGGGATAGATGAGAGAGAGAAAGAGATAGTGAATTACTTGAAAAATAAAAACCACCTCTCCCTAGAGAAAATATTTTCGTTGTTTTCAAGAAAAATATGGTCACGTGACTAAAAGTAGGAAAATATTTTCGGTGAAAAAATTGTCAATCTAACGCATAAAAGTAGAAAATTATGTGGAAAAAACACATTTTTCATGGAAATATTGGCAATCAAACGCAACATACATATAATTTTTAGGACTGTCCAATCACTGCCGAAAAAGATGGAGCTTCTCTTTTCTAACTAAAATTCAGGTAAAAAAAATTCTGCCTTCACTTTTCAAACATATGAGTACTGTGAGTTTCATCGTGAAGGTCTGATATGGTTGTCCCTCTTAATAACTTGCTAGGTGAGGCATAGGATATAAGGATTTGTTCAACGTGGTTCTTTAAGTACTAAATTTGGGGAGCTCCATAGTACCGAGAATAGAGGACCTGGAACTGAGAGCTTATTGGCCATTATATTCATCTGTTTATCATTATCTCCTGTTAGTTTTGATCAAGATTTCGTTTGGATTTTGATCAATGGCAAAAATATAAAAGCAGAAATAACCCTTTTTTCTGAATCCTTTGGTTTATATTGGGTAATCTAGGGTGTGTTTGATGTATATTATTGAGGAAAGAATGTGTTTTAAATAGTGATATGATGGACCTATAAAAAAAAATAGTGATATGATGGGAAATATGTGGTTAAAAAGTAAGGAAAAATTATTGATGTAATGGAAAATATTATTTTATTGAAAAATGTGTGGTTGAAAATGAGTTATGAAATAATGTATTTTGAAAGAATGTGTGTCAAACAAGGGCTTAATTGTTTTGGTTCTCACTGCTTGTTTATATTTGCCAGAATGACCATTAAAGAAGTGGGGTTATCTGATGCTGCATTGGATTTGTTAGCCCAGTGCCTGTCTAGAAAATCTTCTGTAATCAAGGTATACAGAGCAACTAGAGGTTGACCAATGAACTGGTCTTCTTGATTAATTGTTTTGCTTCGTATTATTATCTGAAAGAAAAACTGGTCATAGTGAGAACTTTGGTCCAGCTGTTCCCATTTGCTTTTTGCTGGCTCTACAGATATAAACTATCATCGAACATCTTATACAGGCAAGATATGAAGATCTTGTTAAGAGCGAGAATTCCACATGCGATGTAAACAATGGAAATGTTGAAAGCTTCGTGAATCCTTATATTGATAAAGATCTAGATGCAGCTCTGGATTCATTTGACAATCTGTTTTGTCGCCGCTGTCTTGTAAGTACGAAATATTGACTTCTTTTGTTCAATGACTGGCAGAATAATGTTGTGCATCCTATATGATTTCTCATGGTTTTCTTGCATCTTTATTTTCCTTATATTGATAAAGATCTAGATGCAGCTCTTGATTCATTTGATAATTTGTTTTTTTGCCACTGACTTGTAAGCGTGAAATATTGACTTTTTTGTTCTATGACTCGAAGTGAAGCATACTCTCACGTTGTGCATCCTATGTTATTTTTTCGTGGTTTTCTTGCATATTTGTCCAAACATTTTCTCCTTTATTTTCACAGGTTTTTGACTGCAGACTACATGGATGTTCCCAGGATCTTATCTTTCCTGTAAGTTGATTATGCCATCATATAAGTGCTTATGTTCTTTAGCATAGTGACTGTCTCTTACAGTGTTAGTTTTTCAAATAGGCTGAGAAACAACTACCATGGTCCTGTCTGGATGTGGAAAAAAAACCATGCGGCCCAAATTGCTACCGACGGGTACTTGTTTTTGTACTTCTGTCTTCATAAATTATCATACTATAATGATTAACCGTAAATTTGTTTCCCCATACCGTTCTTGTAAAATGCCCTGTCTGTACCTTTTCGGCGTTCTTGAGACCTGTTTAGGTGCACTTCAATGTTATTTACACATCACCAGAGATTTTTCTCCTTAATCATGCTATATTCTTGCATGAACTTTTTGCTACATTCACTCTGCATCAGGTCCGTAAGTCAGAAAGAAATGCTACAATGTGCTGTACTGGGCAGGTTATTTATGAAGAAAAAGCTGCCCCTGCATCTAATAATGCTGTTTCCATGCAGACACAAAAGAGGAAGCAGGGAGGTCCATCTGTTCGCAAGAAGTCAAAGTCTTTCCCAAGTGAAAATGCAAAAGACATATCTGAAAGCAGTGACTCAGAAATCAAACTCTTCAATGATGTTGCTTCTTCGCCTAAGTGTACATCTACAGGAAAATGTGGGGGAAACAAAAGGAACAGCAAGAGAATAGCCGAGCATGTATTAGTTGCCATAAGGAAAAAACAGAAGAAAATTGCTGCTTCTGACTCTGAATCCATTGCAAGTGGGAGTCTCGGCTCTAAAGATTTGAATCTTCAGGCTCCTCGACGAGAAAATAATGGCATTAGTTCTTCACAGAAATTGAAATCTTCATGTGCTAGAAAGTCTAGTAGGAAAGAGTATTTTGCTCCTGACAGCAACAAATCTTTGCAGGGGGAGGCTCTGAGTGGGGCATCGAATGAGATTGAAAGTAAGCGACCTGTGACTAGTAGTGACGATACCTTAAAGAAAGAAGAACTTATAGATGAGAGTATGTATAAACAAGAAGTAACAGATGATAAATGTTGGAAAGCATTTGAAAAGGCCCTCTATGAAAAGGGGCTTCTGATTTATGGCCGGTCCAGGTTAGTAATTTATATATACCTTCTGCTTCTTTAGATGTCTGGTTCCCATGTTCTGTTACCTGAAAAAATCTTTGTGCATGCTTTTAACTCTTATATTTTATGAGTGTAAAGGTATGTTGTATATCCTTAGTTAATTAATCCAATGATTACCAGAGCATTTTTGTGGTTGTGGATTTATTTAAGCACTAAAAAGACTGCTATTATTTTTACTGGTAAGTAGTGATGGGTTTCTGGTGCAGTTCAAGATAAAAGTTGAAATCCTCATGCTTTTCACTTGCATCTCTCTTTTCTTGACTTCAATATGGTAGCTTTACTATCTGACTACATTTAACATCCTGTCTTCATTTGACGTTTAGTGGGTTTGTCCTGCTTGCATTTGTTCTCAATCCATGAAGCGTTGACACTCCTATTAAAGAAATATGTCCATTTAGACGTGTCGGACACCTAGGATGCATCGACACCCTCCAAGGACCGACAAGTTGGTGTCGACACGACACCAACACGTGTCGGAAACGTTAGGTGGTGTGTCCAAATTATTTTTTGATTTTGTACAGTTGGACATCTGGATTAAATTGTTGACACGTCAATACATTATTGACAAATAGAAATTAACAAAAACAAATTCAATTTAAGTCCCTATTTGGCCCCCATTAAAATTATAATTCATATTTCTCTCTCTTCTTATCAACTACACATTTTCCAATAAAATAATATTACATGTAAATCCAAAACTTTTTCTTCTTTTTTAACCATACATTTTTCGAAAAAATATTATTCCAAAAATTAAAATGGCAAATAATGGGGGCTAAAATATGTAAAAAATAATACTCCATCCGTTCCACAAAGATAGGCATACTCTCATTTTCACTCATATTAAAAACACTTAATTAATATAATTGGAACTATAAATTTTACTCGCTTTTTTCTAATATACCCCTACATTGAATAATTGAGTTCATATTTGTTGATACATAGGGGCATATTAGAAAAATTAAGAAATTAATTATACTCAACAAAAAAATTGACCAATAATTTGGGATGGGTGAAAAGGAAAGCAAGCTCATCTTTATGCAACAGAGGGAGTATTATTTTTATCGGCGTATCGGGAACGTCTTGTGTTGATGCTTTTTTGAGGAATTTCGTGTCGATTTATTCGTGTCGTGTCCGTGCTTCCTAGTAGTACACGAACACCCTTGGACACTTCATGGTATGTTTTACATCTACTATATGGATTTTTCCTTCTAAGGTATTCAAATGTAATAAATTGCCATTCAACCAATTTAAAAGATTTTGCCAATAAAAAAAATAAAATGAAAACAGTATTGATTTCTTAAAATAAAAGGCATAAAAAACAAACATATAATAGATAAATGTAAAAGTTAAAATAATTTTAAGAGTATGTGTCCATTTTTGAAATCATGTGTCAGCGGGTCCATGTGTCACATATCCACGTACGTAATTAGCACTCAATTCTACATGTTACCTTCTCTTGCTATTCTGTAGTCAATGTAACGGGAGAACCTTTATTTGTGTTGCAGCTGTTTGATTGCTAGAAATCTTATGAATGGTCTGAAGACATGTTCAGAGGTATATAAATATATGCATCATTCTGAGAATAAGCAATTTTTTCGTGCTGGTGATGGGGCGACCTTTGCTGATGGCTATTTGAAAGCTGATGGTGAAATTGTGGTAAGTGTTCTGTTCTCCATTCGTATGTTAATTTGCATCCTTGGCCTTGGTTATTAGTTTTGTTATGGTATGCTCATTTGTTTTGGGTGGTAAAGGGCAATGCTGCACGGAGAAGATCAAGATTTTTACGTAGGAAAGGTAGGGTTCGCCGCTTGAAATACACATGGAAATCTGCAGGGTACCATTCTATCAGGAAGCGCATTTCTGAGAGGAAAGACCAACCTTGTCGGCAGTACAACCCTTGTGGATGTCAATCAGCCTGTGGAAAGGAGTGTCCATGTCTTGTTAATGGTACCTGCTGTGAAAAATACTGTGGGTAAGCCATTGCCTTAAACACAGTATTCTTTTAAGTTCTATAAAATAATTTAAACACAGTATTCTTTTAAGTTCTATAAAATAATTTGCAGTATAGAGCCCATGTCAACTTCCACATTTATTTTGTGCATCTTAAGTTTCCTCACTCTTTCTGTCGTAGTATTCTGTTGTAGCTTACTTGTCCGTATGGTTTTTGAGCTTTATGCTTGCACCTATGCATGATAATTGCTGCACTGTTTTGCCTTTCAGGTGTCCAAAGAGTTGCAAGAATAGATTTAGAGGCTGTCACTGCGCTAAAAGTCAGTGTCGAAGTCGTCAGTGCCCTTGTTTTGCTGCTGATAGAGAGTGTGATCCGGATGTTTGTCGAAATTGCTGGATCAGGTTGGCTGTCACCATATGCTTTGTTTTCTCTACATTTCTGAATCACCGAAATTCGACGACTTATAGTACCATCAAGTGAATTTAAAACGCCTTTTAAGTGCTTGCTTAGTATTTTAAATGCTTATAAGTTGTGAATCCTGCAGAATGTGTGGATAGTGGGTTGTAAGTTGTGGATCCAATGAAATGTGTGATAAAAAGTATGTTAGATGAAAAATTTAAGCTTTACTGAAAATGCACTGAAATGGGAGAACTTTTGTGTCCCTCTGTAGAAGTGATTGAAACTTTTAGCACCGTTAGCGATGCTATCATTATTGCTAACCTTAGTGCTTTGATAACAGTGTCACTTTTAAAAATTAATAAATAATAACATTGCTGGCTGCCGGTTTTGTCTAATTAACCAGGATAGGATATTTGGGGTTAGAGGAGGGGACAACAGGTGACAGAATCATAGGATGACTTTTGATGCTGAATTATGAATCCTGTGAAAAGAAGATACTTGAGAGTTGATCTGAGATGGTTAACAAGTGAATTCCATTCGCCCTTTAATATGATTTCAATCAAGTAACTACACTTTAATATAGCTTGTGTTTGATGCACATTAAAATAGAAAGAATGCATTTTTTTGTGATGTGATGGTGAATATTTGGTTGAAAAAGAAGGAAAAGTTATTGATGTGATAAAAAATATTATTTTATTGAAGAATGTGTGGTTGAAAATGAGTAGAAGAATGAGAATGTGGCTCAAATAGGGACATAGTTTCAATTAAGGTGACTTCGTCTAATTCCATTGAAGAAAATTGATAACGTGATAGTCAATAAATGGCGGTTGTCGCATTTAACTATTAGTTACTGGTGTTGAATAAGTACAACTTCAATAAAATAAATGATGGCCTTAATTTATTAATGGCCGTATCATCGATTTCTATAAGTCCAAGTGACCGAATTGGATGAAGTTTTCCGATTGAATAAAATTGATGTAAGTTACATGGTTGACACTAGGAAAAGTATAGTTTCCAGCGAATGGAATTTAACCTGTGAATTCTAGTATATTTTCAACTTCTAACAAATTATCGGAAGATAGGATCCCCACCCTCTATTTAACTTTTTTTGTTTTTTTTTCCCACGAGCAATCAATGGTTACATGTGTGTAAAATTGTGCATTTACTGTACTTATCTATTTATTTACTGTATATTTTAAAATCTAGTAGAATTTGACATTCAAGGTTATAAACTGTCGTGGATGATCATGAGATCCTTCCTAATGGTCTACAGAATGCCTGGAATTATTGTTTTTACTTTATTTAGGTTATTGAAGAAATACTTGAAATTCTGCCAGTTTCACCACTTCTGTATTAGATTGAAGTATTTCCATTTTTCATTTGACTTTACAGTTGTGGTGATGGCACCCTTGGGGTTCCTTCTCAAGGAGGTGATAATTATGAATGCAGGAACATGAAGCTTCTTCTAAAACAACAACAGAGGGTAATCCTGTTCTTGACCCCCAATGACTTAGTTGTTACATATGCCCAATGTTGTATTGGAGAGGTTTGCTAATCAATAGTTCTTGTAATATTGGTTATGCTGGGTCACTAGTGGCTAATGAAATAGCAATGATGGATATTAGTCAAAGTTGACTCTCGTAAGTATTCATTTGTAGGTGTTGCTGGGAAGATCAGATGTTTCTGGTTGGGGAGCATTCTTGAAGGTAATTTTCGAATATATTAATTGTTTCGGCATGATTTTTTAGTTTTTTCCCCTGATGTGTGGTTACCTTTATTTATAATACTTCAGAAGAATGTTGGCAAGCATGAATACCTTGGAGAGTACACTGGTGAACTAATATCACACCGTGAAGCTGATAAGCGTGGCAAGATCTATGACAGGGAAAATTCTTCGTTTCTCTTCAACTTAAATGACCAGGCATGATCTGCTAGAATTTGGATATAATTGACGTTTTACTTTCATATCCCAAAAACATTCCCATAATCGCCTTCCCTGGAAAAAGAAAATAAAAGAAAACCATAAATTGAGGCGTTTTTCTTATGCGCAGTTTGTGCTAGATGCTTATCGGAGGGGTGATAAGTTGAAGTTTGCCAACCATTCTCCTGATCCTAATTGTTATGCTAAGGTAACTAGCTAATAGAATAATATTGAATGCACCTAATGCTTTAAACGTCTGGTAACACTATTAGAAATGGCTGGATAGTAATAATGGAAGTGATTTTAGTTTCTTGTTTTGTTTAATAAATATCACATCAAGTGAGAATCATTTTTTGGATCATTCTAGTCCTACTATAATTCAATTATTTCAATAATACCTTACTTTTCGTTTTTCAATATGTATTTAATTTATTTAATCATTTAGTTACCATTAATGTACAATGTACATTTGACAAATTCATTTCACTTGTGTGCTTTCATTAATATATGAATTCTCTATTATTAAGTCTCAATTAATTGACATATTCATCTTCATTAATGCTAACTAACATTCAGTTTTACTTAATTAGAAATTAAATAAATGATTTAACATTTATTGTCACGTATATATTCACTGTTATTAATTATAAATTAATTAACATTCACGCATATTTATGTATTACTTTTATCGCACTTATAAAACAATTCATAATAATGTGCAACACAAGTTCAACGTTGACTAGTCTTATCAAACATTCTATAAATAAGCGAATTCTTCTATTTATATTACAAGTTTGGGGATCTCCAATCTTTTTATGTTCGCCAATTCAGGTCTTGTTCATTTCGTATTTCTCTTTATAGGTCATTATGGTGGCTGGAGATCACAGGGTGGGTATATTTGCGAAAGAAAGAATTGGTGCTGGTGAAGAACTCTTTTACGATTATCGTTATGAGCCAGATAGAGCACCTGCTTGGGCAAAAAAACCTGAGACGTCTGGCGCTAGAAGAGAAGATGGTGCTCCTTCTACCGGTCGTGCCAAGAAGCACACCTGATTGGTAATTTAATTCATCAAGATTTCTTTGTCATTCTTTTCCAGAGAAATTCCTCCCTCATTTGCCTTCCGGCTGAACTAATCATTTAGTTGCCGGAGATACAGTCGACAGACCATCTCCAGAGTAACTTAACCCCATTTTTTGGACTGGCTGAGTGAATTCACCAGAGCGGGAAAGAATACGAGTGTAGTTTATGCTTCTGTCTCTTCAATTAAAAATTTCATGTGAAATGGTCTCTCATTGAACAATTCTTTTACTTGAATCTTATAGGAAAAACAGAATTACTTTGACTTAATTCTTAATTTATGGGACCAAAAATTATCATATGCTGGTTTATATTTGCAATTTTTCTTTGTTATATATTGTTTCCTCTGAATTGAACAGCATCTTCCTTAACAATCGACCTCATTCGTTTATCTAGTACTTTCACATGGCATTCCAACTAGGGTTGTCAATAGATTGGATTTTGATCCGAATCCGATCCGAATTCAACGAAATTAATGGGAGATGGATTTAAGGTCTCAATTCGACAATCAGATCAAGATTCGAATACGATAATTCGTTAACTAAATGGATGAAATATGAATATAGGTCAATCTGATCCGATAACAATCCGATTCGATTTGTTATAAATAATTGAGTCGGTAAAATATTTTTGTGGCATATTATTTGTCATTAAAATAAATAAATTTAGAATAAAAAAAAGTAATCAAATTCAAAATAACAAAAAAATTGAAAATTTTATAATTATTAAACATGTTTAAGAATTGAAAATTTTGAAAAAAAATAAAAATAAAATTGATTTCAACCAATGTTTTAAAAATCGACTCGGGCATCAATTTGGAAAAGAAAGAGGGTCAAGGGTCAAAAAGTCGAATCAGTATCGAATCGGTTGTCAAATTGAATAAATAAATACACACATAAATGTAAAATATTATAAAAATAATATATTTTTTTTAATTTTAGTTTACTAATTCAAAGTAAATAAATATTTATATTTTTTTTAATTAAATTTATTATTGTAATTTATTTTACAATTTCAAAAACTAATAATTAATAAATAATTTGATTTATTAATGGAAATAATGAAATAAACTATTTATATTTAGAATTGAAATTCAATTTTATCTTATCCTACATCGAATGTCAATAGAAAATTAGAATACGATTTCTCCTTTAAAAAAGAACATCATAATTGTAGAAATTATTATTGGACTTGCTAGTAAAAACATGTGAGCCTCAAATTAGTTCAAATTTTTTTAAAGAATATTGATTTTTTTTCTAATTTTTATTAATTTCGGATCGGATATCCGATAACATAGCAAATCGGATATTGATTTAATAATCAAATATCCGTTAGATTATCGGATCGGATCGGATAGTTTTCTTATCGGATCGGATATAGGCCGATCCGATCCGTATCTGATTCATTTACAGCCCTAATTCCAACTGACTGAAAAACGCTACCTTAGACACATGCAACACTCGTGTCATCTCTCGTGATTGGGTAAAAATGTCGAAACTCGTTTTCATATTTTGTTAAAGGGTAATTATATTGTCACTACAAATATTATTTATTACATCACATTATTATTATTATACCTTAAATAAATTATATTTTTAATAAATATTCCACATTAATTTTACAATTATAGTCCTAATTAAATTAAAACTTAAAATATTGTGGTGTTCATCCCTTCTCAATTTTACTTCTCTTCCATTATCCCTCCCCGCCTCATCGACATTCAAACATTGCACACCACCACCTATTAGTCCTGAATTCCCCATTAATCCTGCTTAGAAAAATTCAAAAACTTCTCGCATCCCACCAATAAATGCTCATTTTGTTGGGATCCTTTAAACCCATGTGTTGTGAAAAAACGGAAAAGATTAATGGAGCAATATGAAGTATTGATCGCTCACCAAATAAGAACAAGATTTAAAGTAAATAAAAGAAAAAATTGACAGAAAATCGATATTTTATTAAACAACCAATGAGAGAAAATACAATTTCAGCAATTTCTGCTCTCCAAAAACCGAATAAAGAGTCTACTATTTATAGGGAAAATGTTCAAAGCCAAGATAAAAACAATTACGTGAAATAAATGAAACAATATTTTCCTAGTAAAACACGTGAAATAAAAGAAATAATATTTTTCCAAATACGTGCAAAGAAGGAAAAGTATTTTCCCAAAAATTTTAACATAATTTGGGTCACAAAATCCAACAATCTCCACATTGACACAAATTCTGGTATAACAAACGAAACTCCAAAATTAATCCACTTGGAAAAATAAGTCTGACTGCATCAAAATAAACTAATCTCTTCATTCAGTACCAAAACTCTCCACTTCATGAAAAAAATCACATTTGCCCAATGTCCACAAGCGACACCCGAACCCAACCCCGGGTTCCCAAAATTCCAACAAAGAATTCAACAAATACCAAACAGGGTTGAAGCATACCCTATAACAAAATTCATACAAAATATTTGAATTGAAGGCCCCTTGCTAGAATTGTCACCTTTAAACACCCTGAAAGTATGACACATCTGAAACCCGGTACCTGTGTTCCATGAGTCTTCCCCTAGCAAATGACTTAGAGCCCAACATGAAAGGTACTGTACCAAACTAGATTTCTTCCAAGGTACTAAACGTGTCCGATGTCTCTTCACTGATTTTGCGCGCCCCTGCAGGATATACTATTGAGAACTCATTCGTCCTTCCAGCACAACACGACGACCCCTTTGGACCTTCAAGATTCCACCTCCACTGTAGAATGTTTACCCATTAGAATCCATGGTACTCAGCAAGATGAGATTCTTCCTTAAGTCTGGAACATGTTGAACATGGCCAAGAACTCGAACAGTCTCATCCAATGACCTCAATCTGACCCTACCGATTCCATCAACCTTACAAGATTGGTTATTTTCCATGACAACTCCACCTTACTTCACCATTTCACATGTTTCAAACCAGACCCTATTGGGACACATATGGAATGAACACGCTGAATCCAAAATCCACTCCTCATCCGGCTTAGATTCTATGTCAGATACGGTCAACACCACATCTTCGCCATCCGAAAATCTCTCGGCAATATTAGTTTCGTTAGAATGATCAGATTGCCTCCTATGATTTGCAGATAAATTACTTTTACCATGAAACTTGTTGCAATCCTTCTTGAGGTGTCCTTTTCTCCTACAGTAGAAGCAAACCTGATTGCTGAAATTCACCCTCAACCTATCCCTCCGTCGATCACTTTACGAAACTAGAGCTTCCTCTAGCTCCAAAGATATGCCTTTAAAAATAAAGCGTCATAAGCATCGTCAATGGTGAGACCTCCGTTTATCAACGTACGAAATCAGAGCTTCCTCATCCTTAGCTCCAATGATATGCTTCATCTGCTTCATTGAAAATAAAGCGTCATAAGCATCGTCAATGGTGAGTGTGTCATGACTGTACAAGATTGTGTCCCTGAACGAAGAATACGAAGCGGGCAGTGAGTACAACAGGATCAAGGCTAGATCCTTTTCATCATACTTGACTTTTAACGTTTCTAGATCAACGATGATTTCCTTGAACACACCCAGATGGACCTCCAAAGAACTCCTTTCTGCCATGCGATGAGAATAAAGCTTTCGCTTCAGATGTAACTTACTCATCAATGTCTTCGTCATACACAGTTGCTCCAGTTTTAACCACAATGCAGCAACTGATTTCGTCCTGAAGAATATTGTTAGAAATATGAAGATGAATTATAGACAGCGCCTTCCGGTCCTTTTGTTGTTTCTCCTCTGTTGTCCAACTTGTTGGCATTTTATCAAAACCCAACAGAGTATCGTCCAAATCCATCATCGCCAGAATTGTTTTCATTACTTGCCACAGAGAAAACCTTGTATTACGATCCAAAAGCAGAATATCATACTTCACGGTAGCCATTGAAACTAGAAATCTCAAATCAATTCAACAACCTGTAGCTTTGATACCACTTGTTGGGACCTTTTGAACCCATGTGTCTTGAAAAATCGAAAGAGATTTATGGAGCAATATGAAGTATTGATCGCTCACCAAGCAAGAACAAGATTTAAAGTAAAGAAAATAAAAATTGACAAAGGAACAATTTCAGCAATTTCTGCTCTTAAAAAACTGAATGAAGAGTACTATTTATAGAGCAGATAAAACAAGAACAAGATTTAAAGTAAAAAAAAGAAAAATTGGTAGAGGAACCGATATTTTATTAAATAACCAATGAGAGAAAACACAATTTTAGCAATTTCCGCTCTCCAAAAACTAAATGAATAGTCTGCTATTTATAGGGAAGATGTCCAAATCCAAAATGGAAACAAGATAAAAACAAATCACTTGAAATAAAAGAAATAATATTTTCCAAATACGTGCAAACAATGAAAAATATATTCCCAAAAATTCCAACCTAATTTGGATCACAAAATCCAACACATTTCTAATTCTACCAAATGAAATACCAATCCCACCCACTAAAGCACCCCTCCCCCACCTCACCCCATTTCTAATTCTACATACATCACAAAATCAATAAAAAAATAAAAAATGAACAATCCACCATAATTACCACCAAAAGATGAAAAACAAGTGTAGTGAGGAAAAAAAGGTAAGTTTCATATTGGTGGTGGAAACAAAATAAAAAAATTACTTTTAAAAAATATTTAAAAGAATGTTTATTTTTGTAATCTTACTTAGGGGTATTTACGTAGATAAAACATATATTTAAAATTGTGGTGTAGTAAACAAATTTTGTAATAGTAATATAATTACCCTTT